CGCTGGTATCTTGCTGGTCTCTCTCTGGTCTCTCTCTGGTTTCTCGCTGGCCTCTTGCTGGTCTCTCTCTGGTCTCTCTCTGGTTTCTTGCTGGTCTCTTGCTGGTCTCTCTCTGGTCTCTAGCCTCAGGTGCTCTTTCTGTGACTTTTGAAAGACTTATTTTGAAAGTTGGTTTTGTCCTTTTCTTTTGCAGGTTCTACAGAAGTTGGGAAAAGCAGATGAAACCCGAGACGTGGTGTTTGAGGAGATGGTTTCTAACTTCAACAAGCAGATGGTGAGGATTCAGTTTGAAGATCTTAAATACAGAATACACCGCACAGACGTAACACACACCTGTGGACGTTTGATGTTGCTTTGTGATTGTGTTGCAGAATGAAGGAACAAAAATACAGAAGGACCTCAAGGCCTATCTGACCGCAGTGAAGAGTGAGTGGAGACATGGGACTGAGGTTGTAGACCCAGGACTGAGGCTGTAGACCCAGGACTGAGGCTGTAGAGCAAGGACTGAGGCTGTAGAGCAAGGACTGAGGCTGTAGACCCAGGACTGAGGCTGTAAATCCAGGACTGAGGTTGTAGACCCAAGACTGAGGCTTTAGACCTAGAACTGAGGCTGTAAATCCAGGACTGAGGCTTTAGACCCAGGACTGAGGCAGTAGACCCAGGACGGAGGCTGTAGACCCAGGACTGAGACTGCAGATATAGGACTGAGGCTGTAGACCCAGGACGGAGGCTGTAGACCCAGAACTGAGACTGCAGATATAGGACTGAGGCTGTAGATCCAGCAGAGGTCCCTGACTCTGTCCTTGTTTCCATAGCGATGCAGGATGCGTCTCGGCGGCTGCAGGACTGTCTCGCTGACATGTATGAGCCGGAGTGGTTTGGGAAAGAGGAGATGGACGCTCTGGCTGAGGTCAGGCTCTGATAAAGAGGATTCAGAACAGAAGAAAGTGAAAGTAGAAGTTTAGAATCAGATGTTGAGATCTTTTCAGACTTGTTTTTTGTGAGTTTTTGTTTCACTGACTCTGTCTCTAAACGCATGTGTCTGATTCTGAAGGAGATGATAGAGAAAGAGCTGGACAATAATCTGGAGGTAAAACTTTAGACCTGGAGACTGTGTTAAGTCCTGGTTTAGTCCCTGTTTAGACCTGGTTTAGTCCTAGTTTTGTCCTGGTTTAGACCTGGTTTAGACCTGGTTTAGACCCGGTTTCGTCCTGGTTTAGTCCTAGTTTAGACCTTGTTTAGTCCTGTTTTAGTCTTGGTTTAGCCCTTGTTTGGTCTAGGTTTAGACCTGATTTAGACCTAGTTTAGTCCTGATCTAGTCCTGGATTAGACCTTGGGCAGACCTGTTTACAATCCCTGCATATCAAGGGCAGCACAGTGGCGCCTCTTGAAAGGGCCTCTCTCTGTGTTCGCCCTGTGTCTGTGTAGGTTTCCTCCAGGTGCTCCGGTTTCCCCTACCGCTAAAAACATGTAAAATGGTTGAGGGTGAATGAGTGTGTCTGTGAGCAAATGTGTTCATGAACTTGCTGTCAGGGTAAAGCCTCCTCTCCTCCCCCATATCTCCCCCTCTCCTCTCTCCTCCTCTCCCTCCACTCCTCCTTTCACTTACCCTCACCTCCTGTCCTCCTCTCCCGTCACCTCCTCCTCTCCCCCCTCTCCTCCTCTCACCTACCCTCACCTCCTCCTCTTTCCTCAACCTTCTCTCCTCTCCTCTCACCTCCTCTTCCCTCCCGCCTGCTCTTCCACTCCTTTCTCATTTCACCACCTCCTCTCCTCACCTCCTCCTGACCTCCTCCTCACCTCCTCCTGTCCTCCTCTCTCCTCTCCAGGACACAGACACCCTGTGGTTGGACTTCCACCAGTCTCTCACAGATAAATCGATTCAGACCCTGGACTCGTATCTGGCCCGGTTCCCCGACATCAAGGTGAGTTTCGTAATTATCAATATCTTTCAAGAGAATCCAGGAAGTAAATGTGAGGTCCTTAAACATCAGATTGTATAATTAAAGCTGAGGTAAAGCTTTGGGCTGGGAGCTGATTGGCTGAATGAAAGTGGTCCTCTCTTTGTCACATGTCTGATGTGACAGAGGATACAGAAATACACAAAACCATTGATCAAATTCTTATAGAGTTCTATTTTTGTGGTTTGAAAGTTACATACCTCAGCTTTAAGCAGAAAATATATGGTTAAACAAAAGATCTCAGTTCCTACTACTGCCACCAGAGGGAGGATTGGGAAAAGTAAGAAAATAGCTACGAAAATGACGTGTAACGAGTTTGAGACAGGGGCATTTAAACAGTGGGGATGGGGAGCACAGAGGTTATAGCTGTAGTCCTGTGTGTGAGTCTGCTCTTGCGCCCCCTGCAGGCTCGTATAGCGAAGCGCGACCGTAAGATGGTGGACTTCGACAGCGCGCGACATCACTTTGGAAACTTACAGAAAGGAAAGAAGAAGGATGAGGCCAAGATTGCCAAGGTGAGACCAGGAGGGACCAGGTGAGACCAGGAGGGACCAGGTGAAACCAGGAAGGACCAGGGGAGACCAGAAGGGACCAGGGGAGACTAGGATGGACCAAGTGAGACCAGGAGGGACCAAGTGAGACTAGAAGAAACCAGGGAAGACCAGGAGAGACCAGGTGAGACTAGGAGGGACCAGGTGAGACCAGGAGGGACCAGGTGAGACCAGGAAGAACCATGGGAGATTAGGATGGACCAGGAGGAGACATGGGGAGATTTGGAAGGATTAGGGGAGACTAGGGGGGACCAGGGGAGACCAGGAGGGATCAGGAGCTACGGCCTAAAGGGGGCTCCTGGTACAACCACAGTGTGAACTGATTGACACTAACACACACTAACACTAAGTACTCGTTCCTAGCACACATTCCTGCTTCAGTGTGTTTATGTGAACAGCAGAGAGAGGAGGAAGTGCAGGGAAAGACAGTGTTTATGTGATTATGCACAGTCAAAAAGAAGAAAACTCTCGCCATGTTGTGTCCAGTTTAAACTTTGCATCAGTTTTGTTTTACTGCTGCTGTTGGTGAAGTGCGACATCACAACATGAATCTGCGGCTTATATTCAGGTGCGGCCTGTGTGTGGACGACCGAAGTATTGGTGCGGTTTATAAAGCTGGATTTGAAAGGATTAACAAAATGAAGCATTTACCGTCTGATAGGTCAAACCTAGCCTGGCCTTAGCCATCCGTACACTCCGCTCAATCATCATTTCCCTGCATGTAACGTCTGGGTCTGGTCCCTCTGTTAGCGATTACAATCGGTTGAATTCCATTCGACCAATCATCGAGCGCGGGAGGCGGGTGTTGTAGTTAGATGTGGGTGACGTCAAGAGTTTGCGCCGAACAGGCAGGTTGTAGTTTGGCAATGGCGAAGAATACGATAGTAAAGTATTCCGGTCTGGTTCTATCAAGAAATTGAAGTCGGAGCAAGAAGAATGTTAAGTACATGTAATTGCTGGCAAAGATTGTGGGGCTACTCCCCACGGGCTCCGTTAGCGGCAAAGGAGATGGCTAGGCTAAATGTTTTCGACTCACTCGGGCGCATTACATACGTGACGGTAAACTCAGATCCAATCGTTTCAATCTGCAAATGTAGTTAAACCCTCCCACCTGTTCACGGAGCTCAATGGAGCACCTCCAGACCTTAGTACGAAATGAAATTTGTACTATGGTGTGGTATGACCAGGCTATGTCAAACCCCTTTTCTAACTTATTATTTAGTCTGGTTTAGTCTTGGTTTAGTCCTGGTTTAGGCCTGGTTTAGGCCTAGTTTACTTCTAGTTTTAATTCTGGTTTAGTTCATAGGTAGTCCCAGGATAGCCCTTCCAATTCTGAAATCCATCCCTCATGTTCCTTACCCGCTCATGGAGGCATCATTCTGAGTCGCTGCTGTGTTTTTTTTACGTTTTTCTTTTACGTACAATAACAACAGGATCATTTAGAGTGGTGCATCTGACAGCAGAGTACTGTTTTTGTTAATCAAGCACCAATCAGAGGCCATGTTTCCCTATGACTGGCTCTTTGGTTGCCGTGCGGTTGCTATGAGGGCCTCTGTAGCTCCACAGCGCCCCCTGTATCTCAGTATTATACATTCACAACATTGTAAATCTCATTTTGATCTACAACAATGTCATAAAAAAAACGAGCACCCACTTCTGTGTCCAGTCCAGCCGCATCACTCTGAGCTCTGCCTTACTCACGCCACGTCACAGTAAACATGCTCCCATTGAAGGCTACAGGCTCCGCTCAGACCACACATTAAGTTAGCGATCAGTGGATTTCTTTTCTTTGTGATAATGCATGATTGAACAGCATTGTGCAGGCGTTTATGCTCATGGTAAGTATACAATGTGGTGAGGTGTGTGTCCTGGCTGGTGTCTCACTAACTACAATGTTTTCTGGTTTCCCTGCTTGCCGTGGTTGCCGTGGTTACGCCTGCTGCATGGTGTGTTAGCCCGCGGCTCTACTGGAAATGGCGGCTCCCAGTTGGGCTCAGGGTTTGATTTCTGCGCATCAGGTGGCTCAGACTAACCTCTCCTACAACCAGGTGACTACTGCTACTAAGTAACTAAGTACTCCAAATACTATAGTAACATTTCAACCAGGTGGCTCAGACTAACCTCTACAACAACCAGGTGACTACTGCTACTAAGTACTTCAAATACTATAGTGCCATTACAACCAGGTATACTGCAAATGTACTGTTGATGCTACAAAGTCTGAAAGTATACCAAATTCAAAACTAGCTTCACAAAAGTCTGTGTTTAACCAATATCTATATAAGTCTAGATATTGGAAAGTACTACAAAAAGAACTACAATTAATAAACACAAACTAAAAAATTACAATTTACAACCAGGTGACTGCTTCCTTCTCCCAAGTTCTGCATAGACTAAAACAACTCAAAGTTCTACACATTCAAAAGTACCATAAAGCTGGGGTACATCACTTTTTAACACGTTTTTTTGCCCCAACAGAAAGTCATGTTGACTCACAGGGCTCTCTCTGACACAGCAGTTTTCTAACTCTACTAAAACTTGGCTGCTACTACTACTACTACTACTACTACTACTACTACTACTACTACTACTACTACAACTACTACTCTACTACTACTACTACTACTACTACTACTACTACTACTACTACTACTACTACTGCTACTACTACTACTACTACTACTACTACTACTACTACTACTACTACTACTACTACTGATACTGCTATACTTCTGCTACTACTACTGCTACTGCTACTACTACTACTACTACTGCTACTGCTACTACTACTACTACTACTACTACTACTACTACTGCTACTGCTATACTTCTGCTACTACTACTGCTACTGCTATACTACTACTACTACTACTGCTACTGCTATACTACTGCTACTACTACTACTACTACTACTACTGCTATACTACTGCTACTACTACTACTACTACTACTGCTACTGCTATACTACTGCTACTACTACAGCTATTGCTATTTCTACAAGCACTACTGCTACTACTATTACTACTGGTTCTTCTACTTCTACTACTACTGTGCCTCATCATCTCAAACGTGACCATTAAGACACAGAATGTTGTGGTCTGGTTTCTTCACAACATTTTACTCTTTCTGTTGGAGAATCTACATGTGTTATTTGTGAAAAATAAAGTTAGGTACCCCATCTTTAATCAAAGTTTACTGATGTAATCTCTAACCAAATGTGTAAAGACTGAGCTGGAACTTTTGTGAAGACTGAAAGGTGATGTTATTGCAGTGGTTTGTCCTCTCCGTCTCTCTGTATGATCATGTTTGTGTGTGTTCTGTCTGTTCTCTAAAACGTTGTGTTCTTGTCGCAGGCGGAGGAGGAGCTCGGTCGGGCGCAGAGGATCTTCGAGGAGCTGAACGTGGAGCTCCAGGACGAGCTGCCGGTGCTGTGGGACAGGTCAGACTCTAAAAAGAACTCTAAAATCATCTCTGAACACTGACAAGACAGGTTTAAAGCACCAACGGCACATAGATCTGAACCAGGATTGACACAAAGCCAAGACCACAAACCGGTCTCAACCAGGACTAAACAACGGCTTAGTGCATATTAAATCATTATTACTAAAAAGTTCATCATGGCTCCTTATATTAAAAACTAAAGTGTAAACAAGATAGTTGTTTTTAAAAGAACCTTCTAAGCTGTAAATAACTTCACTCTGGGGTCCTCTTTACTCACATTATATTGATAGAAATATTAATTGATTAAAATCTGTGTTTGTGTTGTAGCCGTGTTGGCGTATACGTGAACACATTCCAGTCCATGGCCAAAAACCAGGAGAAGTTCCACCGAGAGATGACTAAGGTAAGACCTGCTTTAGACCTGCTTTAGACCTGCTTTAGACCTTATTTTAAACCTTCTTTAGTCCTGCTTTAGTCCTGCTTTAGTCCCTGGTTTAGTCCTGTTCTAGTCCTGGTTTAGTCCTGCTTAAGTCCTGCTTTAGTCCCTGGTTTAGTCCCTGGTTTAGTCCTACTTTAGACCTATTTTAATCTGTGATTTCTGCTCGACAGTTAAGTGAAAACCTGAATGACATCATGACCAAAATCGAGGAGCAGCGAGATCTGAAGTACGTCACATTATAACTCCTTAAACTTTATTAAAACATAATGAAATCACAAAACTTTGATGTAACTTTTGGTAAAATTGCGTCGCAGAAAAGCAGAGAAACCCGAGACTGCGAAGAGGTAAACAGCCGAGTGTTCAAAGCGTTAATTTAAGTCTAATCTCTCTCTTTACAAACATATGTCTGAATATTGCATGGAGTGTTGTTTGACGAATGCAGTTGTCAGGTTTCTGCGGTGTTGGCGCTCTCTTGTGGACAAACTGGAGTATTGCAACATCATATAAATTCTGTGAGCTTCGCCTTAAAGCTGGGGTACCCAACTTTCCAACCACAATGGAATCCAGTAATAAAACCCATGTCACTTCTTCCTGGCTCTAAAGCAGTGGCTTCTATCACTATTTTACCGTATTTTTGGCCTCCGTCTCATCTCATCAGCTTTTACAGACAGAAAAGCTCACAGCCCAAAGAGTCAAATAGGGACTTCTCACATAAATATTGTAGAGCATGGTGTGAACTACTACTACTAACTACTATTGGTCCTTCTGACACAAAATATAACGTTTTCTAATAAGATCCAACTGTTCACATCATTAAAACAGTCGACCACAGCAGCCAGACTTCCAGGGTCGTTTGGTCTCAGCGGGAGGTAAATCTGTGTGTCGTTCCCATAGCAGTGGAAGGATGACGGGCCATAACGTGTCCTAGGGGGAGCATATAAATAGAATATAAAATAGGACCTAAAATAGAACCTTGCAGCACACCAGGTAATGGGGGCTGTTGAGGAGGTACAATTACCCATGGTGACCGCAAAGGTTCTGTCTAAAAGATAAGAATGAAACCAACCAAGTGCAGTATCTCTGATGCCAACCCACGTTTTGAGGCGATCCAATAAAATCTTGTGGTTGATCGTGTCGAAGGCTGCGCTTAGGTCTAGAAGAATTAAAATAGAGCACCCTACACATATTACTTATGAAGCAGAAAAGTTAGGTACCTCAGCTGCTTTTATTTTATATTCATTCATTTTTCTCCTTTTGCAGCATCGAAACGAGCCACAGCGACCCAGCCAGCTCAGCACCAAAGGTAAAAGTCCATTCAAACAGAGAATATAGACTTCTTTTACAGTGTTTTAATTTGATCATTTTTAATCTAATATTTGAATAATCCTGTATTGTCGACTCACTTCCTGCCTTCAGATATACTGCGCCATGTTAGATTTGTCTCTGAGTGTCTTGTGTCACTAACTGCATGTTGCATGTTGCCGTGGTAACGCAGCGCCCCGGAGCCCCGCCCCCTCGCCCAGCGCTAAGTCCTGCCCCCGAACACAGAGCCGACAGTCCATTGGATGACGAGGCTTCCATCAACCCCAGCACACAGGTTTGCACTTACAAGTAGTACAAGTAGAAGTAGTAGTTGTAGTTGTAACAGTAGTAGCATCAGCAGCAGCAGCAGTAGTCGTAGATAGTATAATACTTCTAAATGTTTCACTTTATTCTGTATTTTTACAAAACTTTAAGTACATTTCTGTAATGAGAAAAGGAACAAATGATTATATTCCAGAGGGTCAGGGTTAAATAAAACGCCTCGTTATGACATATATTAATGAGAATAATTACTGTATAAACAGATGTACTTATCATTAGCTCTGGTTCAGTTCAGTTATCACCAACATATTGCACAGTGTGACATCACTCAGCCGGGCGAGGCCTGGATGGACTTATTGAACTGGGACGCTCAGGTGTGGCAGCCGGTGACCCCCACCCCCCAGGTGACCCCCCCCCCTCAGGACAGAGCCCCTGAGGGATGCGTGTGTGTGCTGTTTATGACCTGAGTTAAAGCTGGGGTATTTAACTAGCTTCATAGATAACACATGCAGTTTGTCCAACAGAAAAAGTCTGGAAACAGTCATATTTTCAGAACAAAACAGACACAACATGCTGTCTCCATCTAATTAGAAAACATGTGAGCTCTGTGAGTCACGTTCTGACTCTCTGGGCTGAGCGCTGATTGGCTGAGTGAGGGGGGGTCCTCTCTTTTAGAAACTCTGTTTTAAAGATGTGACAGAGGCCAAACATACGTTCAATTTAGACTTGGGTTTTCTTAGAGAGTTCCATTATCTTGGTTTAAAAGTTACGTACCTCAGCTTTACATCAAGAAGGTAAAGAGTTCAAGGCTTTTCTGTGTGGAGTTTGCATGTTCTCCCCATGTCTGGGTGGGTTTCCTCCGGGCGCTCCGGTTTACCCCACAACACAAGACATAATATGGTGGTAAAAGCCTCCAGCTCTGGTCCCGGGCATGGGTTTAATGCAGAGGACAAAATCACCTTAACTGCTAGGTCTTTTTCGTAGGTCTTTTTCTTTTGGAATTTTTTGCCATTCTTCCATACAAAAGTCTTTCAAATCTATCTCTATATCTTTATTAGTTCTTCCTTCTCCTCTATACTGCGGGGGTTTATGATAAGAATTATATTTCTTTTGTTTACTGTCTTATCTTTTTTGCCGCCAATTGGAAGGCTCCTTCATGGGACGCTTGGGTAAGAATGAAGAATAGTTTTATTCTTATCTCAGATTTTTTTATCTTCAGGTTTTTCAATGTTGAACTGGAAACATACACAATTAATTCTGTTCATAATTCAACCATTCTATCCTTTATCCCATTTATCAAAAACACTATCCCGTCCCATATACTTTCCAATTCCAAAACCCGACTCCCAAAATGTCCCCAAATCCTTTCTGATCCCACCCGCTCCTGTAGACCGAGTCCAGGGACCAGGATCCACAAACTCAGACTTCAGATGAACCTCTGACCTGGGACCAGACCCAAGACTACGGACAGACCCAGGACTACGGAGAGACCCAGGACTACGGACAGACCCAGGACTACGGACAGACCCAGGACTACGGCGAGACCCAAGACTACGGAGAGACCCCGGACTACGGAGAGACCCAGGACTACGGACAGACCCAGGACTATGGACAGACCCAGGACTACGGTCAGACCCAGGATTATGGACAGACCCAGGATTACACAAACCCGGAATGGGGCCAAAGCGCTCACACTGAGTCCTCCTGGGACCAGGACCAGGATCAATACCAGGATCAGGACCAGGTATTCTACCAAAGAGTAGAGATAGAGATGGAGTAGAGTCTCTAAAGTAGATTTTAAGGATGCACCGATTGTGACATTTTGGGCCAATGTTTGACCAATGTTTTTTGTGCCTTGGAAACATACAAGCCTTTCACCTCTTCATCACTCTATCCTTGAATAAGCACAAATTCAATCAGACCAATTCATGAAACAGAAACAAACCCATTCTACGAGTCCTTCCTCTTGAAATTTCGGCACACGTTTTGCAAACTGCATAACGTTGATCTTTTTCTGATTCTGTAAAATTTTGGCATACAAACACGGACATCTTTTATGTTTCTCTCTTCTACCAAGGAAAGTGCTCGGACGCTCTCTACCTAAATCTCTTTCTATGCGCCTACCATCGGCGAATGTCTTTTCTATTTGCCGATGTTTACCAAAGGAAACATCGGCCAATATCAATGTTCAGCCGATGCATCAGTGCATCCCTGGTAGTATTATAGTTAGTAAGTAATTAAGTCAGACATTTTTATTTATATAGCGCATTTTACAGTCCAAGGTCACCCAAAGAGCTTTACAATGTTCAGAGTTCAGAGTTGATTAATCATCAACATGTATTTTCTCCAGAGCTTCAGGCAAATGTCAGGCCAACACAGAAGTATTTCATTTCATCAACGCTATCAATTAGTATTTAATGATTTTACTCAATAGCAAACAATCCTTTTATTTTAATATTTATATTTCATTATTTTCTATTGTATTTGTTCATAAGACTCTGCCTGGAGGTACAGTTTATTGCATTCATTCGTATGCAAGTCTACACAATAATTATTAGAATTGAATGAATGTATGTGTTAATCTCAATTTCAATTATTTATAAAAGGATGGATAATTATCATATCAAAACATTTGGAATTCTTTATCTTATCTATCAAAATAAATGTATGTTTAGAACGTGGTCAGTAGAAGGTCGTTAGAAGTTTCCCAGTGTTTTACTTTAGTCTATTTTTCCCTCTTGTCCTGGCCTCAGTATCTATCATCTGCTTGAGTCCTAACTGTAGTGCATTTTTGTTCTCAGGGCGCGGTGACAAACGGTGACGGTGAGATGCCTCCTGGTTTTATCTATAAGGTGAGCTGCCCCCTCTCAGAACGCTCTGTTACAAATCTGTCTCTGATATATCTTAGAGCTGCACACAAGAGTGAAATGAAGTCTGTGAAGTAGAACTAGTTTGGATCGGTGGATAAATATTGTTGCTGCTGTTTCAGGTGAAGGCGGTTCACGACTACGCAGCCACAGACGGAGACGAGCTGGAACTCAAGACGGGAGACCTGGTTCTGGTTCTGGCCTTTGAAAACCCGGATGAACAGGTCCGAGGCGTTGCAGTCCGGCTTAGTCCAGTCTGTTGTTTTCCCTTGTTTTGTCTTTGTGTTTGTCTCTTAATGCTACGTTTACTGCTTTTTACAGGAAAATGTTGAATGTTATTGTTGTGCAATAAAAATAGAATGTAGTTCCTCACTTTAGCCACTAGATAGATTTCTCATTCCATCTTTATCACCATTTTCTACTTAAAGGAATAGTTCAACGTTTTTACATACTGACAAATGTTCTTACCTTACCTTAGACTAGTTAATATGTACCTGTCTGGTCTTAGTCCGTGCGCTCTGTCATGCAAACGGAGCAAAAACGGGAGCACAACCGCAGCCTCCTCTGTATATTTTGTAGCACCAAAAGGTAGCTCCCGCTAGAAGCTACCAAACTCTTCCAAGTGTTCCCTATTAAATGTATATAGTTACGTGACGTGTTACACTGCAAAGTATAGTAACACAGAAATGTAACAGTCGATTTTCTCAGCGGATAAAACGGGTACTATATTGTGAGGCGTAGTAATCTGAGGGGCGCTACGTCCGCGCACTAACTTCTCTCCGGAGACTTCTCTCTCGCTGCTACTGTGTGTATTACAAGTCACGCTGCTTCTATTGACGGAAGTGAGCGAGAGAGAAGTCTCCGGAGAGAAGTTAGTGCGCGGACGTAGCGCCCCTCAGATTACTACGCCTCACAATATAGTACCCGTTTTATCCGCTGAGAAAATCGACTGTTACATTTCTGTGTTACTATACTTTGCAGTGTAACACTTCACGTAACTATATACATTTAATAGGGAACACTTGGAAGAGTTTGGTAGCTTCTAGCGGGAGCTACCTTTTGGTGCTACAAAATATACAGAGGAGGCTGCGGTTGTGCTCCCGTTTTTGCTCCGTTTGCATGACAGAGCGCACGGACTAAGACCAGACAGGTACGTATTAACTAGTCTAAGGTAAGGTAAGAACATATGTCAGTATGTAAAAACGGTGAACTATTCCTTTAAAGCTGGGGTAGTAGTAGTTTGTCCTAGTACACACGCGGTCTTCATCTTGATAGATAACGTCTTCTCTTTTGTATACTTCTTTTGGTTGAGAGTTGGTGGGTCTTCTCTTTTTCCTTTTCTGTCTGAAAAAAACATCTAAGGATATGGAGGTCAAAAAGCACATGTGGAAATTAGTGACAGAAGTGAACTGTTTTAGCGCCAGGTACTAGTGACATGGATTTCATTATAGTTCTATAATTGTGGCCTAAAGGTTAGCTGCTCGATATTTAAGAAATTATTGAGGTGAATTTCCAAGTAACTACACTTTCTAGATGACTCTACAAACCTCAACATTCCCAGTATTAATGGCTCTGTTCTCTGCTGCAGGACGACGGCTGGCTCCTCGGAGTGAAGGAGTCTCACTGGGTCCAGAAGAAGGATTTATCAGTGAAAGGAGTTTTCCCTGAGAACTTTACCAGCAAAGTTTGAGTCCCATGTCCTGGTCTCGACCTGGATCCGGACCTGGATCTGGTCTTGAATTGGTCTGGATCTGGTCTTAATCTGGACTCCCAGCTGCACAACAGGATCAACACAACAAGAACTGGCCTCAGGAGTTCCTTTTCTTTCATTTTTTAACTCTCATAGTTACATAGCTTTTGGTTTCTGTAAGTTGTAGATCCACGTAGACTTGTTTTAGATCCAGTCTGATGTGGATTAGATCAGGGCACATTCACACTTGTCATTATTGGGTCCAAATGTAGAAAATGTACTATTTTTGCTCTTTTGTTTTGACACAAAAGTGAAAGCTACAGTTTATGAAATTGTCCACCAAATGGGGCTGCTTCCTGAGAGCGACAGCCAATCACAGCTCAGATCAGTTTTTGTTTGTATTCTTTTACTCAAAAACAAATCTTTCCTCAGTGTTTTCAACATCCTGCTTGAGCGAGGTCAGATAACAAAACATTGTGGATTTGTGAATCTTACTTGTTGCCGGGTAAATTTTTAGTCCAGATCACAACGCAGTCCATTAGTCCTGTTTGGACCAGGGTTATGGGCCTTGACAGACGTAGCTTTGATGAACAGTTTGGGTCCCAGGACAAAGCCTTGGGCGACTCCAGATCCTGATGCAAGTGTGAACGTGTCCTTTGTCGTGTTTGGGCCTGGTTTATCGGCTTGGGCAGACCTAGCTTTGATGAACAGTTTGGTCCCAGGACTGAGCCTTGGGGGACTCCATGTGTAATGGTCTAGTTTCATGTTGTTCTCAGTTAAAACTTTTGTCTTGTTTGATTCTGGTTTCACACTTGGTATAGGTCCCATTATTTCTCCTGAAGGTACCAATATTGCTCCAATATGTTTTAGTCCAATCAAACAAAGGTTTTTATGATTAATCGCCTGTGAAAAATGCAAGCATAGTACTCTTTGTTTTTAGTCCTTGCTGCCAGCTACAAACCGAAGCATAGAATGTGTTTTAACTGCAAATGGATTATTAATATATTATTTTAGATTCAATGAAAAGCTCTTCCAATGGCCTTCCACCAACAGCAAAGCCAAAGCTGCTGTTGAATTGTGACAGAGAAATATGTTTTTAAAAGAACGTTTTAAGGATTTTTACACTGTGACGATCAGGACAACGACGGCTTCGATCAAAGTTAATAAAGAAATAATGAAAAACACTGGAATTTCAACTGTGTATGTTTGTGGTATGATATTTGAAGTACAGACTGAATACATGAAGTAGAAACATACATCATGGAAAGCATGCTGATATATCAAGCTAGCTACATTTGAAGATGGCAACAACCTAGCAACCAAAGAGCCAATCAGGAGCGCAGCTGGTCTGTTCGGAGACATAAGGCTCCTGATTGTTTAGTTTTTAGAGCTCATAACTGCATTTACAAAGACAATATCACAATATAAACACCAGGAAAATACAAAAATTAAATCATGGAATTTTGAACTAAAAATGGTAAGTATGAGTTTACCTGTGTCCATACAATATGATGTCTGCATGAGTGATTCAAATGATCCAAGTAAAGAAAGTGAAATACCCAAAGAGCGGAAGTAATGAGCCAATAACAAGGAGATAGATAGGCCACCGTTAGAGGTGATGGGGAGGAGGCGGGTTGCTGCAAGAGCTGAAGTACACATTTTTTTAAAAAGATGTCAATAAAAGTGCAAATCCCAGTCTGGCTCTGTAAAAGGCCCTAATTATAGCAGTGTATGACCAGGCTAACCAGTAGGAGTCTGATTTTAGAAAGAAATACAATAGTTTTCTCTGTGGTGCAAGGTTCACTCAGCTCTGTTCAGATGAGTGATTTCTTGTTTTACCAGTCTGTGCATTGTTCCATTGTTCGTCTACTATTCTTAAACAATAATTAAACCACAGAGCACAGAGGTAATTGTCAGGGAGACTGTAAACACAAACGGATTGGCTTTTTGTCACTATTTGACACGGCTGAGAGCAGAAGGAGGGTGGTCTTCCCTTTGTCACTTTTCTGTCTGAAAAAGTTGATCTTGAGATGTGACAGAGAGACCAGAGAGAAAGAGACCAGAGAGAAGGAGACCAGAGTGAGAGGTAGAGACCAGAGAGAAGGAGACCAGAGAGAGAGACAGATGTGACAGTTGCTAGAAATACAGTGCCTATATCTGAAAACTAGTTATTGAAACAAACTGTTTTAGAGCCAGGGAGCTCCATTGAAGTTTGAAAGTTACGTCCCTCAGCTTTAAGAGCGAGTGAAGATAGCTGCATATTCCGCAGATGTCACACTTTGCATTCACTGCTGAAACTCAATAATGTCGTACACAATAATGAACTAATGCAGTCTCATGTTCGTGATGCTCTGTAACACACGCCGCTGTCCACAGATCAGGTTTCTCTGGCTTCTTGTCTTTAGTCGTTAAAAGCAGCAGCAGAAGAAAAATATATTCAAAGGAAAACAGTTGGAGCGGTGTTTCAACCACACAACCACACTGCTCTGAGTGATTTATCCACTTTTACCACAGTCAGAACAGACACACACAGACTTATAGGATGGTAAAAACATAATATTGGCTACGACACTCATGAGCCAAGAGCCAGCCAAAAAGTCCATAGCAACTGTTGCCGTAAACAAAATGTAGTCACAGACACAGAGGAGAAAAAGCAAAGTTTTCCTTCTTTTAACTTATCGTATGTGATATGGGCTGTGAATTACTTTGCGTTACCTGTGCCGTCTGGTGCACACTGGGGTAGTCTTGCACAGTTTTTCCAATGTGGTTTTACTGCAAATGGCAAATAAATGAATCTGAATCTGAATCTTATCTTGTGTAGCGCTCAACATACAAAAGCTGATTGATTTATTAAATTGTGGATTTCACAGAAAGATAAATATTTATAATGTTTAGCAACTAGATTCTAATTCCTGCTGTATAATAGACCTTCGAAAGCTGTAGAATAACGTTTTTTTGTTCAGAGCTTTGTGTTGCTATGGTGACAGCTCAGGTGAATATGGAATGTGTAAAGTACAGGTTGAGGCTTAAACATTAGTACATTTGCATTGGACCATGGTATGTTTATATTTACTAAAACGTGACCACACCCTATTCCCCCTATTCTGGTCATGCTTAATCTAATGGCTCTATTAAAAGTAACTGAATAAGGTGGCCAAATGAGATGATACCAAGATTGAATGAATTAGAAATACATTGGAGAAACACAACACCTTTCACATATGCTCCCAACACCGTCATCTATAATTAATATTTTGCAGCTGTGAATTTAAAGTCTATTCTATGATAACATTTTATCAGCGCGGCGAGCAGTGAACATGTGATATTGATGGTACTTCTGAATGTGGTGTGAAAAAGCTTGTGTTTGGAGTTGTGTGTGTCTCGCTGTTGATGATTGAACGGTTTGTTGATCAGTGGGGATCCGGTTTCAACAGACGCGGTTGCTGTAGTGATGTCCTGTTTTATAAAGACAACACACAAGAGACCAGCGCCACTCCACCACCACTGACAACTACTGCAACTACTGCGACTACTGCTGCTACTACTACTGCAATATGGTGAGTCTTACTTTGACTTTGAAAGGTTAAAACTTGCTAGAGCTTTGTATAACAGTGTATGAATTGGTTCTAAGCTAAAATTATCTTCAGAATGTATCGGCCTAAAATCCACTAGTGGACCTGCAGTTCAATAGTATTTACTAAATTACCATAATTTTTAACTATTTGATTTTAGCTGATTATTATAATGTTTTTCCAAGTCATGTGAGTAGTTAAGATTAGAATTTTACCATGAAGCACTCCAGTTTCTTCAAGTCACACTACTACTGCAACAAGTGCATTTTTTTCTACATAATATCTAGAAACTGTGTAATCATATTTTTCAGAAGCAAACAAGAACCAGTTACTTAGATTTCTTTATTTTTTATTTTTAAGATTTAATACCAACTTTAATAACACAACGAGTGCATCCCATAGTTCAAAGCATAAAGTGACAGGGATGACGACAAAAATAAAATCCACTTTGATCCAAGAACTGACATTCTCTAATATTTTATATGCACTGGTTAGATAATGAACATATGCTGAGGTAGTTACCACAGCAACAACAACATTGAAGGTCATGTGACATCACTTTTGGCAGAGAAATACAAATAAGATAATCAGCTTTTCAATAAGTTTGTCCAAGTTAGCCATATTATCACTAGTCAGATGAGTCAGTCTGAGTAAGATTTAGTAACATTATCGTACAAGTTAGTCTGAATTATCAATTTATGCAATGCAGTACAAGTTAGGTCGAGTATGAGCCAGTAACATCCCACTTTTTTTCTCAGACATAAAACAATATCTAAAATCAGGCTAAAATTGAGTGAGTGATCTATTTTATATAGAGCTGCTTTTATGACAGTTTCACCTGACCAAAATTTTGAACATTCTTTAAGTTATTGGAAAAAAATCAATTACACTTTTAAACTAAGCACTTTAATGATCTTACACTTGTATTGAAGCTGTTTTTGCGGATTGGTTACAATTGTTTCTTGTACTTTTTTAGCTTGTTTTATTCATGTACTTATCTGATGCACACTGGGATACCAACACTCCCACCTATATTTTTAAAGATTGGATTTGACCTTGTTTTCCCCTCAGCGTGAATGCATCTCTGTGCACGTGGGCCAAGCCGGCGCTCAGATCGGCAATGCCTGCTGGGAGCTGTACTGTCTGGAGCACGGGATCCAGCCAGATGGCCAGATGCCCAGTGACAAGACCATCGGAGGAGGCGACGACTCGTTCAACACCTTCTTCAGCGAGACTGGAGCTGGGAAGCACGTGCCCAGAGCTGTGTTCGTGGACCTGGAGCCAACAGTTATAGGTGAGATCATGTTAAGTAATGTGAGGAATAGAGCTGCAGAAAACTGGATCTCTCTCCTCCACAAAACCTTTTTAGGTCAATGATCAGTTAACTTGTGTGCTGTGATCGAGGCGTGGAAAGCCAGTCCGTTTAACAAAACATTTTTACTGCTGGATCCTACAAAGAAAAGGCCAGCAGATGCATTTAAGAGCACATGGGAAAACTTAAAGGAACATAAAAGTCACTCACTCATTTTGATCAACGCACCTAGTCCCACTGCACAGGTTAATGTAATTTGTTTTCGCAGTCTTTCTCTGGTCCTACTCTGGTCCTACTCTGGTCTCTCTTTGGTCTTTATCTGGTCTCACTCTGGTCTATCGCTAGCCTCTTTTTCATTTATCTTTCTGGTCTCTCTGATCTCTCTCTTGATCTCTCTCTTCAGATTCTTCAGTGATAGCCATTGAAGGCACCATGTGCTCAGCTCCTGTCTTGTTCTCTGACAGATGAGGTGCGCACTGGAACGTACAGGCAGCTCTTCCACCCGGAGCAGCTGATCACCGGGAAGGAAGATGCCGCCAACAACTACGCCCGCGGCCACTACACCATCGGCAAGGAGATTATTGACCTGGTGCTGGACCGCATACGCAAGCTGGTCAGTCTCTTTCACCAGTGTGGATGGAAACTCAACTCAAACGGGATTGCGTTTATCTGCCTCATGTGGAACCTCATTATCTAAGTTTTTAGCTCCTTCCGTGTCTGTCTGTTTTGCACACATTTTCAGAAATCTTATGAAGAAAGTTTGTCCAATGTTTTACTACTTTTGAAACCTCTTCTGACCTGTTTGCTCTGCCCTCAGGCCGACCAGTGCACTGGACTGCAGGGCTTCCTAATCTTCCACTCTTTTGGAGGAGGCACTGGATCTGGCTTCACTTCTCTGCTGATGGAGCGCCTCTCTGTCGACTACGGCAAGAAGTCCAAGCTGGAGTTTGCAATTTACCCAGCTCCTCAGGTAACATCATAAAAACAAAAACTGGGATGTATTCCTGTTTATATTTGTGCGTTTCCCAGGTGTCCACTGCAGTAGTTGAGCCGTACAACTCCATTCTCACCACCCACACCACTCTGGAGCACTCAGACTGTGCCTTCATGGTGGACAATGAAGCAATCTACGACATCTGCCGCAGAAACCTTGACATCGAGCGCCCCACTTACACCAACCTGAACCGGCTGATCGGCCAGATCGTGTCCTCCATCACTGCCTCTCTGCGCTTTGATGGAGCTCTAAACGTGGACCTCACAGAGTTCCAGACCAACTTGGTGCCCTACCCTCGTATCCACTTCCCTCTGGCCACCTACGCTCCAGTCATCTCTGCAGAGAAGGCCTATCATGAGCAGCTGTCTGTAGCTGAAATAACCAACGCCTGCTTTGAACCGGCAAATCAGATGGTAAAGTGTGATCCTCGTCACGGTAAATACATGGCCTGTTGCTTGTTATTTCGTGGAGATGTTGTTCCCAAAGACGTCAACTCTGCCATTGCTACCATCAAAACCAAACGCACCATCCAGTTTGTGGACTGGTGTCCCACAGGTTTCAAGGTGGGAATCAACTACCAGCCACCCACCGTGGTCCCAGGAGGAGACTTGGCCAAGGTACAGCGTGCGGTCTGCATGTTGAGCAACACCACAGCCATAGCTGAGGCCTGGGCTCGACTGGATCACAAGTTTGACCTGATGTACGCCAAGAGGGCCTTTGTGCATTGGTATGTGGGTGAGGGCATGGAGGAGGGAGAATTCTCTGAGGCCAGAGAGGACATGGCAGCTCTGGAGAAGGATTATGAAGAGGTGGGCATGGACAGCGTTGAAGGAGAAGGGGAAGAGGAGGGAGAGGAGTATTAAGGATACTTAAGAAGATGTACAAAGTCTATTCAAGCGCTGAGGCCTGTACGAACAAGAACATTTGTTGTGTCTCTAAAACCTTGTAAGAAGCGTCAAATAACCAATTGCAACTGTAGGAACAACATGACATAGTTATTTAGTTCAAACAGCCTGAGCTGCAGAACAAACTTTCTACATTGTATGAAGTACGAATGTCTTTGTTCACAGTTTTAGATATTTAGCAGAGACCCTTGAGGGTTTGAATGAAGGAAATCACTAGGCATAAAAAAACTATTTCTGTGCTTCTTACTGTGCTTTTATCCCATGATGATCAATTTTTACTTTATGAATAAAAAGATTGATTTGGAGTGTAAGCATTGTGTTTCAGGTCTTTATTAAAGGGTTCCGTACAGAGAGCAGGGTTGTCGTCTAGTGCGGTGGTACTTGGGGCTCCCTCTAGTGGTACGCAAAGAATCCCTGAAATAATTTTTGTTTAGTTTTTTTGTTATTAAACCAGGAAAGTCCCATTGAGATTAAGAACCTCTTTTTCAAGGGAGTCCTGGACAAAAATTACACACACATTACAGATTATATAACAGTCACATACATATTATAAAACATTCACATACAATTTAATAGAATTACAGACTATAAAAACAGTTACATTTCAATGAGGATGTCTTAGTCTCTCAGTCTGGATCTAAAAGCATTCAATGAACTAAGTTTAGACAATTTCCAGTCTGTTTGCAACACGTTCCATGTAGAAGCAAATACAAAAGCTTTTTTATTCCCCAGTTCTGTGCAAAAGGAACAGAGAGCAACTAAATATAATTTGATCCAAACCATATGAACCAACATGGGTTTATGTGAGTAAATGGCAGATGTAAGAGGGCAGCAGACCAAGCCTTATAAACAAAGGCAAGGCAAGGCAAAACAAGAAAGCATTAAAATCATAAATAATCACAGAACATTAAAAAGAAAGATAAAAATATAAAATCCCTCAAACAACAAAAGTGTGTGTCCAAACCTTCTGGTGGACAAAGATCCCACTTCAGAATATAATCCACAGTGGTGAGTCAAGGCTTTGCAGTTCGTTTGATTTGAACATTTTAATTGAATAATTATTTAAGTACAGTGTTTTGTTTTTTTCCCCCTATAATTAAATCTTACTGTTGAAACTAATCTGTTACAATGGCTGACAATATTAAATATACTTCTTTAGGAATGAAACCTCTGCCTTGTTTTTGATGAATACTTACTACGCTACTGTGTACATGTATGTGTTGTTCATTTGTGGTGGTACTTGGAGGGGCAAGTATTTTCTGAGGTGGTACTTCAGATTCAGATTCAGATTCATTTTATTTGCCATTTGCAGTAAAAAAAAACAGATTGGAATACATTAGCAAAAAGTCACCAGTGTGCACGGACAAATACAGACATAAAACAACATTAAAAGACTAAAATAAAACAAATAAAACAGTCAACAAATGTCACTGTGAAATTGATCGACTAAAACAGTTTCAAAACAAGTGCAAATCATTAAAGTGCTCTGTTCACACTGATAACAGCTTGTGGATAAAAACTGTTAGCGTAACGAGATGTCCTGCATCTCAGAGAGCAATATCTTCTGCCAGCGGGAAGAAGCTGGAACATGGCTTTCCCAGGGTGGCCAGAAGAGTCATTGACAATCCTAAGAGCTTTGTTTAAAAGTCTGGATTTATAAAGAACCTCCAGAACAGGAAGCTCACAGCCCACGGTCCTCTTTGCAGAGCGGAGCACCTTGTTTAAAGATCTCTTTTCTTTATCTGTGATGTTTCCAAACCACACAGACACAGAACCAACAAGTAAACTCTCAATGGTGCAGCGATAAAAGTTAAGCAGAATCTTAGAGTTAGTGGTAAATTCTCTAAGTTTACGCAGGAAGTAGAGACGCTGACGAGCTTTCTTAACGACTCGGTCAGTGTTTTTAACCCATTTCAGGTCGTTAGACAGAGTTAAACCCAGAAACTTGCACTCCTCTACGATCTGCACCTGGGAGTTGTTGATTACGACAGGCAAATGAGAACTATTATGACTGAAGTTGTAGACCAGTTCACATGTTTTCGATGCGTTCAACTGGAGGTTGTTAGTTTTACTCCACTGAACCACATTTTGTATCTCTGCTCTATAAGAGGATTCATCATTGTCACTGATGAGACAGATGATGGTGGTGTCATCAGAATATTTAATGATCAAGTTTGAGTCAGAGGAGGACACACAATCGTGAGTGTACAAAGTAAAAAGCAAAGGACTCAAAATACATCCCTGAGGAGAACCAGTGCTCACAGAAACAACATCAGAAAAACAGTCATTGAGTTTCACTCTGAGATCTGTCAGTTAAAAAGCTAAAAATCCATTTACACATGGCAACACTTAAACCGAGAGGCATGAGCGACAGATCCACTAGTGTCCAAGTGACTGTAGACAGAGTTCAGAGCAAAGGAGATGGCATCCTCCACACTCCTGTTCTGTCTGTAAGCAAACTGGAGCGGGTCAACACTCACAGGGATCTGGCTCTTAATGAAGTCCAGCACAAGCCGCTCAAAAGTTTTCATAAGAACAGACGTGAGGGCCACAGGACGATAGTCATTCCGGCATGTCACAGGAGTTTTCTTAGGAACTGGAATGATGGTCGACTCTTTAAAGCAGTTCGGCACAGTACAGTTCCTTAGCGACAGGTTGAAAATGTCTGTTAGCACAGGGGCAAGTTGCTCAGAGCACAGTTTCAGGACACGAGGAGGGATGCCGTCCGGGCCTGGGGCATTCCGGACTATGGTCCTGGACAAGACACGCCTGACTTCCTCCTGAGTCACGGTGAAGGGACCTTGATTGAAACACTCAGGGAATACAGTAGGACAGGCATCAGCGGATTCAAAGCGACAGTAGAATGTGTTCAGCTCGTTTGGCAGAGCTTGGCCGACAGATGCAATATTCCCAGCACTAGGTTTCCATGATGTGATGGCTTTAATACCGTTCCACATGCGCCGAGGGTCATCTTCCTCAAAATAACTCTTTAACCTGTCCTTGTAACTGCGCTTTGCAGATTTAATAGAACGTTTCAATGAGTAACAGGATAATCATTTGATTGAAACGCCAACGCACGCTCATGAAGTTTCAGTTTCACTTCCGCGTTCATCCAAGGGTTTTGACTAAAATGTTCTTTAATGACCTTCTGTGGGACACAACAGTCAATACAGAAGCGTATGTATCCAGACACAGCGTCACTGAATTCATTGACGTCCTCTGACTGGAACACAGACCAGTCCGTAGCATCAAAACAACCTTGTAGCTTCATGCTAGCCTCCTTCACTCTGTCCGCGCGGTGAGCGGTGAATCCCGGGGGCTGAACAGCAGAGTCCGGGACGTTCGAGTGGAGCCACGTCTCGCTGAGGCAGAACACAGCGCAGTCCCGGGCCTCACGCTGGCTCTGGACCCGACACAGGAGCTCGTCCGTCTTTTTGGGCAGAGCGGTCCTGGAGGAACGGCTTCGAACGAGCAGACCGCCTCGCCTTTCCCGTGTCTGCGCCGACTCGAGGTGCCCAGCTCCACACCGCGGAGAGAACGCCGGAGACGCCTGGTCCCCACGCTCTATTGGCGGCCACCGCCGCGGCCCGCCTGCCGTGCTCCATGGGCCTCTCGAGTGGGACACTCGAGGAAGTTTGTGCACCTCAGTTCGGGTAGTACGAGTGACCCGTCACACACAAGGTCCCGAATGTTAAGAAGCGCCTCTCGGTCATACTTCACAGTGGCAAGTGACTCAAAGACAAACAGCAACAAAACACAGATTGTGCACACTAGAGCTCTCACTGCGGCGCCATGACACGGCACCATCTTGCTCTCTCTCTCCTTCTACTACTGGTACTTGGTGTAAAAAGTTTGAGAACCACTGGTCTAGTCTGATGGCCTCGGCCTGAGGTTAAAAAGCTGCAATGGCCTTGGAACAGACTACTGCCTTCATTCTGTCAAACAGACCAAACCACAACACATTCAGGAAGAGACCTGGCCAAACTATGGACCTTCATACCTCCAACATAACTGTTAGTGATGAAGACAGGAATTCTTTGTGCTTGTAATGACGACCATTACGAGCACAAAGAATCGCTGTCCTCAGTAAGTAAGTAATCTTTATTTATATACCGCCTTTTCACTGCAAATCTGAGTCTCAAAGCGGTTTACAATTGTTTATTTCGGGCATTTGTCTCTCCACACAGAGATGGGAGTGGGGTCGCCAGTACAGGAGGCGCATGCCAGAACTATTGTACATATTTTTAGTGGTAGGGGAAACCGGAGCACCCGGAGGAAACCTACGCAGACACAGGGAGAACATGCAAACTCCACTCAGAAAGGCCCTGGTCCGACCCAGGACCTTCTTGCTGAGAGGCGAGAGTGCAATCCACTCAGCCACCGTGCCGTTCAGTTTTGTGAACAGTTTTGTCATGTGAGATAAGATAAGCTATGATGTGCTTTATTTATCTCACATAGGAGAAATTTACATGTCACATTTAGCATGGATAGAGACACTCAGATTGTGCAAAAGGAGGAAATGTGCAAACATGTTACATGCAGGATATATATGTACAATAAAAGTGACAATAATTATGTACAACAAAGTGACGAGTGTCAATTGGAAGCAGTGTCAATAGAATAGAGATAAGTTTTATTATTATAACTTAGTTGTCCATCCTTACAATATGTACACAAGCAGTCTAACTTGAAAAGTGAGATTGTTAGACCACTAAACCACAAATACAGAACTACTATGTTGCAAAATTGAACTTTTATTATATTGATATTTTATTTTTATTTATACTGTATTGGTTAGTTATATATTATATTTATTATTTATGTTACTTTTCATGTAATTTTATCAAATAATCCTGTATGGGTTCATTTTTTTCTTTAGCATAATCCTACTTTCTCAAGTATTTACAAAACTGCGTATTGAAAATGACGTCATCAGCCTCCCTCTCTTCCGCGGCGCGCACTGGTTCAAACCTGACGCACAAACCACGCCTACTCTCACAGCAGTATAAAAGCAGCGGTCGCGCACTATCTGCCAGAGTGAGCTGCCTTTACACAAGACTCTTCGACGTCCCTGTAGAGGTGAAATCAGTCAGAAAAAATGGTGAGTATTTTACACAAGAATACGCATTCAACACCCTCCTGCTATCAGCCGTAACTCACAAAAACGCAATACCAATTTGAGTTAGCTCAATTTGTTAGCACGATGCGCAGTTTTGGACCTGCGCAGTTTTGGACCTACGCAGTTCAGGAAGCACGACGTAATAACTGGATGTTTTAGACTTTTATTATTTTCTACAGTACATCTGTTTCCATTCTAGCGCGGCTATTTGTAAATGTTTAAATCGTTTTTATATCGAAATAATTTTATAAAACTGGCCTCAACAATGGATTCTACTTAAGGAGTGCCCGCTATCTTTTCCGCTACACACGCCATTATCTGTGGCTAGACTTGCAAATCCTGACAAACTGAGATTTCATCAGATTTAATTATGTGCATCTGGTTATGAACAGGTCAATTTGTTAAAGGGGCTTTGATAATGCAACACATTTAGTGATTTGGCAAAAATACTCTTTATGGCAAGTTATAACTATATCGTTTCAATGACGCAGCTGACCTGGGCGTGATCTGGATTCAGGTTTACTGTACTTAAATCCCAGAAAAGTCCTACAATCCCTTTGCGTATTTGGGGATCAGAGATTTAAACCGAAACCACGAGGCGCCATGCGATAAAGGCCCCGTGCTGTTTGCGCATATAGGGGGGGAGGGAGGCGCGCCTTTTCCGGCCTGGATTGTGGACTGGTTCCCCCCCTCCCTGGCGGTGTGGAGTGGATTTGCCTCTACTAGTGTCTGGGTCTCTGTTTGGGGAGGGGAGTGATCCTGCACAGGCTCAAACCGGCTTTCAGACCTTGCCTTTTTTTTTTTTTATCATTACGCGGCATTTCAGTGCAGTCTCCCGCCCAAATGTCCTAAGATGGAGCCAAAAAAAAATCAAGATTTCGCACATGGCCTGGATTCCTAGACGTTTAATTTGCAATTCCTTTGTCACTAAATATACCGACTAGTTTATACGTAACGCATTAAGGTTTACATTCAGACAGCGCAGTATTCAACTTTTCAATGTTTTCAATTGTCCTTCATAAATTTCTCATTTTGTGCTAAGGCAGCTTTCATGCACATGTTTTAAGTCCCAAAACATTAGTTGGATAATTGACTTTGGTTCGCGCTTCATTGAATTAACATTTTGCAGCCCCTGTTTTAACGTTTATTTTGGTTCTGCATTTTTCACTTCACAAGTTTACCAAACTATGACTTTAGGTGCTACAGGGTCTAATCTATGTGTAGTTGAAATTGAATCGGGTAACGGTACCTTCTTTCCTTGTAGATTTCGATCGTTTTCTAAATTCTAAACTTTCCTGATATTATAACACTTAGTTTTTATACAGTTCTTTCTCTTGGCACTCACTTAACATGCCATTATTAATTACACTAGTTCACTGTATATACAGCTGGCCTTGGGCTTACTTAAAGAAACAGGGCAACGAGTGTGCCATTGTCCTGCACACAAACTTCCTGAGTAATTGGTGCTATGTACCAATATTTAAATGAGTCTTAACCTTTGCCCCTTGTCTTTCCAGCGTGAGTGTATTTCAATGCATGTTGGCCAGGCCGGAGTCCAGATGGGCAATGCCTGCTGGGAGCTGTACTGCCTGGAGCACGGGATCCAGCCGGACGGCCAGATGCCCAGCGACAAGATACGAGGAGGAGGAGACGACTCGTTCAACACCTTCTTCAGTGAGACTGGAGCTGGGAAGCACGTTCCTAGAGCTGTGTTCGTGGACCTGGAGCCAACGGTTATAGGTGAGGTGTGCAGAACTATTAGGGTAGTGTGGACTGTTATAGTAAGTCAACGAAAACTAAGGGCGTTTGTTGCTGCCAAATTAAAAACTTTCAATTCCTTGGTAGTAGAGTTCTCTTCTCGTGCGTTACAGCTCAAACTAAATTAGTGTCAGTCTGTAAAATGTTCAAAGACTGTTAAGCTACTTCAGGCCCCCTGTGATTGGGCAGTAGTTTGTTTTAAGTTTATTGTCAATTGTTTTTGACCTGGCTTGTTCTTACAGATGAGGTGCGCACTGGGACTTACCGACAGCTGTTCCACCCTGAGCAGCTGATCTCTGGGAAGGAGGACGCTGCAAACAACTACGCCCGTGGCCACTACACTGTCGGCAAGGAGATCATCGATGTTGTGCTCGACAGAACTCGTAAACTCGTGAGTACAGGTTCTGTGCAGATTTGTCACATGATGGTCGGCTTCTGACCTGTTTGCTCTGCCTTCAGGCCGACCAGTGCACTGGACTGCAGGGCTTTCTAATCTTCCACTCATTTGGAGGAGGCACTGGATCCGGCTTCACCTCTCTGCTGATGGAGCGCCTCTCTGTCGACTATGGCAAGAAGTCCAAGCTGGAGTTTGCAGTTTACCCAGCTCCTCAGGTGGGTTTCTTGCTCCATTATGGAAACTCTTATTACAGGATGCATTTAAATAGAGGCTGGGTGGCTCACATCTGTCTGCTCACTAGCTTGATAATGGAGGGAATGTGCGTTTCTTTGACCATCACATTGTATAATATATTTAAATTGTTGTTTCCCAGGTGTCCACTGCAGTAGTTGAGCCGTACAACTCGATTCTCACCACCCACACCACTCTGGAGCACTCAGACTGTGCCTTCATGGTGGACAATGAAGCAATCTACGACATCTGCCGCAGAAACCTTGACATCGAACGCCCCTCTTACACCAACCTGAACCGGCTGATCGGCCAGATCGTGTCCTCCATCACTGCCTCTCTGCGCTTTGATGGAGCTCTAAACGTGGACCTCACAGAGTTCCAGACCAACTTGGTGCCCTACCCTCGTATCCACTTCCCTCTGGCCACCTACGCTCCAGTCATCTCTGCAGAGAAGGCCTATCATGAGCAGCTGTCTGTAGCTGACATCACAAATGCCTGCTTTGAACCGGCAAATCAGATGGTAAAGTGTGATCCTCGTCACGGTAAATACATGGCCTGCTGTCTCTTGTATCGTGGGGATGTTGTTCCCAAAGATGTCAACTCTGCCATTGCTACCATCAAAACCAAACGCTCCATCCAGTTTGTAGACTGGTGTCCCACAGGTTTCAAGGTGGGAATCAACTACCAGCCACCCACCGTGGTCCCAGGAGGAGACTTGGCCAAGGTACAGCGTGCGGTCTGCATGTTGAGCAACACCACAGCCATAGCTGAGGCCTGGGCTCGACTGGATCACAAGTTTGACCTGATGTACGCCAAGAGGGCCTTTGTGCATTGGTATGTGGGTGAGGGCATGGAGGAGGGAGAATTCTCTGAAGCCAGAGAGGACATGGCAGCTCTGGAGAAGGATTATGAAGAGGTGGGCATGGACAGCGTCGAGGGAGACGAGGAGGATGGAGAAGAGTATTGAAACACCATCAAATTAACCCTGGCTGAATGATCTACATTCCTTTAAGCTGTATTCAGTTTCAATAAACTGATTAAACAAACTTCTGTGTCTGTCTTATAAAATGGTTAGTCAATGATAGAATGAATTGGCTAATTTGAATCCAGGGTGCTTTACTGAGGTTAATGTAATCAAAGCCCTATTTACTTCATAAAGGGCAGTCAGAACAGATAGGGTTTAGTTAGTATCTCAACTGGACCCCCTTCCCTTAATTGTGAAGGAGTTTATTCTGCTCATTGGCTGCTGACGTACAATATACATTAGCAATAGAACTTTTTTTTTTTTGTAATACTGGTGTGCTTACACTGAAATTTCAGCACTGGGATAAAATCTTATCTGAATACAAAAAGCTCAAGCATTTCACTTGGCCATTTCCTTTCCATGTGTTGTGCAGTAATGTAGATGTTTTGGAACATGGATCATTGTCAAAGTACCTGTGAAATGGTTGAGATCATAGCTTCTCAACAGTTTAAATGTAGCTTACGATCATGTATTTAGAAATGCATCACATTTAAGCTTCTTTCGAATATGTCACGTGGCCGTTGCCATGGAGACCGAATGTGTTCTTCCGGGTTCCAGGATTGTACAATGCTGACCAAAAGCGGATTAAAGTGGTGAATGCGCTACGGGAGATGGCTGGAGAGGCCGAGGACCAGATTCCCGGTGACTTACGTTCTTGTTACTTTACCGCAGCACGACGCGCTCAGCGTAGGGCGAACATTAGCTTTACTAGCATAAACTTTGCCGTTAGCTTGAGCTGTTAGCATCAGCGCGCAGTCATCGGAAGCATTTCGTTATTTATGCAAATATTTATAATGCAGAGTTGAGTGTCTCCAGTTAATCAGCATTTGGGCTGCGTAAAATTTTGCAAAATGTTTATTATAGTGAATAACTGATGACGGTCCTCATGAGACTTGCGATGTTATTCTGGGTACCTTTTCTTTCATGTATAGCTTTGTAGTTTGTCCGAATAAGAGGACAAAGTATAATGTGAAGGAAACAGACCTCAGTGAAAAACCATCTCTCAGCTCGAACAGTGACTCACAGCACTCTTACACATTTTTACTGAGAATTATTTTGACTTTTTCACGACAGAAACTGGAGCCGTTTTCACATTTGGAAAGAGCAAGTTTGCAGACAACATTCCCAGTATGTTTTGGCTGAAGAACGACGTCCCGCTGAAAGTTGCCTGTGGAGACGAGCACACGGCTGTGATCACAGGTACGAATACTCGTACTTTTAGAGTAATGATAATTACTAGAATATTTGTATAATTATTACACAATTTTTATTTTAGCAGTAGTGTAGTTTACAGATACTCTACTACCAGGGGAAAGGATTGTAAAAGGATTATTATAGTAAACTATGATTATCACCAGGAAAAATTAGGGGTACACCTGGTCCAAACCAGAACTAAATTAGTTCTAAACCAAGTTTTCATACATGTGCCTATTGTCTGTATAGAAAGGGTCCTGGATTGTGT